GCGAATATCTTACCTTTTTGGGACTTCATGCAAACTCCTTTAATCATCATCCTGTGTGTGTGTGTGTGTGAGAGAGTTTGCATTAGTTTAATGTAATCTAGATAGCCAATAAATTCCTGTTTCATTATAAGAATCATTGTCTTGTGTCGTGAATTTAAAGTTAAACTTTTCCCAGATCCGGTTACCTAGCTCGTAGCTTATAAATTATCACAAGCATGTATTAACCTTTGGCCAGGGATAGTACACATATTCAAATTGGTAAGATATACTGATGTTAACGTCTCGCTGGACGAACAGTTGATAAAGTGTAAACTATCAAATTTGGAATCAGTTCAATCAGGTTGATTTTGAAGCTTCAGATTCGATTTTCCCCGAAAACCTGAGCTAAAACGTGTACAAAAACGAAGTATACTTTGGGCTTTATAGACTGCATACTATGTGATCTTAAACAGCACTGATGTGTGTTTTATGTTTATTTACACAAATGCTCACAAATCTGATTTTGACAATAGCTTTTTATTAATACATTTAATATTTATGAATTATATTCATGTTTATCAAAATAAAACAAAAAATATATATAGACCCAATTTTTTTGGCATTTATCTCTTTCCCCACCAATGTTTTTTTGTTGTTGTTTTTTTTAAGTTGCCAGCCACCATCAGCATTTTTGATCATTTTCACAAAGATTTCATGGCCCCCAGAATATCTTGTTGTATGAATATCTGTATATTCAATATGTAAAATGAAAGAACAGAGACTCTGCTAAAAAAATAATGATAATAATCAAATTAAATAAATAAAAATTTAAAACAAAGACTATGTCTGGATCAGATTCATATTGATGATCAAAACACAGATGGAGTGGATCGCTTCCATCAACACATCCAAAGCTTGCACAGTCCTATTACACTCCTGGATCGTCATTTCATTCTGTAACGTTAGGCATATGCGTTTTCATTTATATAATGATTAATGTTTGATGATAGCATTGTTTTACATATGCATCTGCTTACATACACGATTGCTTGCTTCTTCGCCGTGTTTTGATCCAGACGTTTAATACTCTTTCACAAGATGTGTAATAGTGCCTCCTACCAGTGAAAACATAGTCTCTGCTTTTGTGATTTTCTTGGTGCGATCTAAGAACTAGTAACTTACTAGAACTTTGGGACTTCATGCAAACTCCTTTAATCAACATCCTGTGTGTGTGTATGTGTGTTTGCATTAGTTTAGTTTAATGTAATCTAGATAGCCAATAAATTCCTGTTTCATTATAAGAATCATTGTCTTGTGTCGTGAATTTAAAGTTAAACTTTTCCCAGATCCGGTTACCTAGCTCGTAGCTTATAAATTATCACAAGCATGTATTAACCTTTGGCCAGGGATAGTACACATATTCAAATTGGTAAGATATACTGATGTTAACGTCTCGCTGGACGAACAGTTGATAAAGTGTAAACTATCAAATTTGGAATCAGTTCAATCAGGTTGATTTTGAAGCTTCAGATTCGATTTTCCCCGAAAACCTGAGCTAAAACGTGTACAAAAACGAAGTATACTTTGGGCTTTATAGACTGCATACTATGTGATCTTAAACAGCACTGATGTGTGTTTTATGTTTATTTACACAAATGCTCACAAATCTGATTTTGACAATAGCTTTTTATTAATACATTTAATATTTATGAATTATATTCATGTTTATCAAAATAAAACAAAAAATATATATAGACCCAATTTTTTTGGCATTTATCTCTTTCCCCACCAATGTTTTTTTGTTGTTGTTTTTTTTAAGTTGCCAGCCACCATCAGCATTTTTGATCATTTTCACAAAGATTTCATGGCCCCCAGAATATCTTGTTGTATGAATATCTGTATATTCAATATGTAAAATGAAAGAACAGAGACTCTGCTAAAAAAATAATGATAATAATCAAATTAAATAAATAAAAATTTAAAACAAAGACTATGTCTGGATCAGATTCATATTGATGATCAAAACACAGATGGAGTGGATCGCTTCCATCAACACATCCAAAGCTTGCACAGTCCTATTACACTCCTGGATCGTCATTTCATTCTGTAACGTTAGGCATATGCGTTTTCATTTATATAATGATTAATGTTTGATGATAGCATTGTTTTACATATGCATCTGCTTACATACACGATTGCTTGCTTCTTCGCCGTGTTTTGATCCAGACGTTTAATACTCTTTCACAAGATGTGTAATAGTGCCTCCTACCAGTGAAAACATAGAAAGCCGGAAAATTCGGTCAATGGTGGGGAAAGAGTTAAAGGGGTCATATGATGCTGCTAAAAAGAACATTATTTGGTGTATTTGGTGTAATGAAATGTGTTTATGCGGTTTAAAGTAAAAAAAACACATTATTTTCCACATACTGTACATTATTGTTTCTCCTCTATGCCCCGCTGAGCCGAAGCCCCGGCTTAGCGTGCGCTGAGGCCGGGCTAGAGTTCAAAATTGAAATCGCATCATATGACCCCTTTAAATAGTAGGGCTGCAAAACGATTATTCACGATTAATCTATTTAAAATAAAAGTTTGTTTACATACTATATGTGTGAGTACTGTGTGTATTTATTATGTATACAGTATATAAATACACATATGTATATGAAAAAAATGTATTGTATATATTTGTATGTAAACACTATATACCGTATTGGCCCGAATATAAGACAACCCTGATTATAAGACGACCCCCCCTTTTTCCAGATGTACCTTTTGGAAAAAGGCTTTTTATAAACCAAATCTTGTTTTTTCTCAGTAAAACACATTTTGTCTTCAATTATTTCATATTGCATATTTTTCCCATTTTAATTTTTGTTTTGAATGTATGGTAAAAACTGTTAAAATGTACCAACAATCACATTTAAAAAAATATACACTTTTTGATATACCATTAAAAAAAAAAAAACAGGTAGCCCATCTGAATTAGGACATTTAGGCTATACATCTAATAGTAGCCTACCAAAATCTTATTAACAGTAGAAGTTAAATCTTACTGAGTCTTCAAATCTGGGTACTGTCTTACGTTTTAAAATCACAAAGGGAGTTTGGTCATGATCTTTACAACACGCATTTACGTATTTCATGGCACACTCGTTTTATGCGTATTTGGCGCCACCTATTGTTGTGGGTGTATTATTGACATGTCAAAGTCTAGACCCTGAATATAAGACGACCACGTTTTTTCAGATGTATTTCCAAGAAAAAAACATCGTCTTATATTCAGGTCAATACGGTAATTAATATTATATATAAATATTTTACATTTTAACATATTTTCCTTAATTTGTGTGTATTTATATATACACAAATATACACAGTACACACACACATATATAGAATGTAAACAAACTTTTATTTTGAATTGATTAATCACGACTAATTGTTTTGCAGGTCTACCTAGTAAATAGTACTGTTATGTTGAACTTTATTTTTGTACATAGGCGCTATTGAATGAAAAGGCTTCGTTACCACATGTAAACGTCTTAAATGTTTAGTTGTAAGATACATTTAAGCAACTTCATCAGAAATAAAGACAGCAAACGAACACTGTGCGAGAATTACGTGAAATCAGAAAATGTACAACTTAAGTGCCCTTTTCGACTCCTCCCTAAATTTCAAGTGGCAAATCTTCTCGGTCAGTAAGTTCGCAAACTACTGTACTATATAGTCCTTCGATCCTAGCTTTCCTGGAACCCTTTAGTAAATTCACTTGTCTGAGAATTCTTAAAACAAAAACTATAATTTGACCCTATGTTTGCTTTATTCACTGACACAGACAAAAATCAAAAGCACTGGGAGGTTTCACTGTTTGTATGACTCTGCTTGTCTGTGTTTGCATGACTCAGACAAACTGACAGTCTAAATAGCAGAGGTGATTTTTCAGTTACTTCAGTGCAACTTGCAACATTAAAGGGGTCATGAACTACCTTCATTTATTATTATTTTTTACTGTTCTCTGAGGTCCACTTATAATGCTATCAAGATTTTTACATAAAAAAAGGTCCAGCTATTATAAGCGTTTTTAGACTTGTCTTTTCCACTTAATTTAAAAGTTATAAAGTAGAAAGTTGCCGTTTAGAGTCAGCGATATCTTTATCTTATCTTATTTGCAAAAGATTGGAAATAATTTTGGTTTATTTTTAGTTTTTTGTTTGTTTTAGTATCAATATCTGGCAACAATGCCGCCCGCACTTAAACTTAAAGCAATCAAAAAAGCCCATGGACAGGTTTTTGCTGACAGAATACGGCATTCGGTAAGGGTAACGCAAAAATTATCATGATATTATCTGTCATAAACGTTGTCAACGCTGTCAAAAACAGTAGCATTTAACACTAGTACACACAGATCTGTATGTCTCTGTGCAGGCAGCGATGTACATAGAAGCAGGCACTGATCTTCTTCTGCTGAGGCGGTGCTTATCCACACTATTACATCATAGAGTGACACATTCCACAACCTACAGTTTTAACAGACTGGCTTCAATATAAGCTGTTTTTAGACTAACAATAAAGTTTTGAGTTCTGGAACTTACAGGATGTTTTTATAAAATGACCTCTTATCTGTCAAAAGATCAAGAGAATTTAGATTTCTCAGTTCCTGACCCCTTTAAGCCAGTAGGTGGCAACAAGTCTATGGGTGAGCAATTTAATTATTCATTGAATCGATTAGTTCTAAAACACTGATTAATTCAGGAAAGAAACAAGTTGCTGAAACTATTTGATCATTGATGCTCATACAAATTCCTCATAAAAAGAAAAAACCTTTGAGAATCTGTTTTCTGCTTGACAAACGGTTAACGTTACTGCCCACTGACATGGTTTTAAAGCTTGTTATTTTTGTCCTTGAAACAACTTAAAATGCACATATTTAAAAAAAAAAAATATATATATATATATATATATATATCCTCAATTCTTGGACCTTGGAATTTATAAAACCCTGCATATGGCCCTGCCTGCAGGTGTAACATTTACTAACTATTGAACGGTAAGACACTAAGTGGAAAATGACTATAAAAGAAAGGAAAGACAGTGTCAGTGAAGGTGGTTGTGAATTTGTGTAGATGTGTGTTAGTTACAGGATCAGAGAATGACACAGTTCCTCTCTCACAGTCCAGATCAACTCTCACACACTCAAGCTTCTGTTTAACACGAAAGCCAGGCAGTTGAAATGGTCCACACTGCACACTCCATACATCAGTGTTAAAGAAAACACGTCCCTTTCTTTGTTTTGATGCTGTAGTTACTCCAACACTCCAGGAAGAACGTTCATCAACCTCCACATCCCAGCTGTGTGTTCCTGAGTTAAAACCCTCTGAACCCAAAACACAGGGATAGATGTCGAATCTCTCTGGATTATCAGGAAGCAGTTCACTGGTCAAGTCGCAACTCATACTGGTCAGATCATCAGACAGGACGAGAGATGGATGAGCTGTGTTTGGATCCAGAATCACAGGAGCTGATGAGACACAATCAACAGGTGATTTTATTCTGATGTTCATATGATGATCAAGAGTGAACCATACACAGATTATTATAAATTATGAGCACTCGTCCCTATTGATCCTATGCATCAGACATTTTCTTCTGATCACTGTCAGTGTTGTTACAGTAAATATTTGATTCCCACTTTGTGTCCTTAACTACTATGTACTAACATTTAAATTTCTCATTTCATATTTGTATTTACTGTGTACATATGTTTTTACTATAACCCTAACCATACAGTAAGCACATGTAGTTAATTAATATTACTCAGTACTTAAATGTATAATTACACTTTAACAATGACACCTTAAAATAAAGTGTAATCTAAAAAAATACTTTGGGAGGGGGGGTATATTTCTAGGGGGGTCAGCATCTGCTGAAGTTACATTGGGGGCAGTTCGGGTGGGAAGCGTGCAATCTGCAATTGTGAACAGTTGCTGACACTAAGGAAAGCATGCAAATGATTTGCGTATGAGTGCTGGTTTTATGCTTTTACTTTTGCTTTCAAATTCAGTCACGTTCAGCATGGAGGTGTCAGGAATATGGACTATTGTGTGTGTTTTTGCCCCTGTGACCCACTTTCTTCCTCATGTTGATTGTGTTAATTTGATTCCAGGTGTGTCTCGTTCCTCCCCAATGATCCTGCCTTTAAAAGCCCTAGTCCTTTCAGTTCTTGTTGGTCGGTTATACTTGTTGAATGTCCTTGTTCTCGGTTTTCCTGTGGATTATTAAAGACTGTGTTATTCAAGTACTCCTCGTTTCCTCGTTCCTTGCTCCCCAAGTGAATTGTGACAGAAGACCCGACCGATACAGTTACCTCCGTTTGGTTTCTCTTTTTACCTAGTTTTTCGTTTCTGTTGTGTGCCCTATGGATCCCCTCATTCGCCCCGAATTCATCCTCTTCCTGCTGGAGCAGAGGGAAAATTCGCTCGAGGGTCATACCAGACTGTTTCTGGCTGTGGCCCATCTCACCACCTATTCCGGACGATGTGCTCTGCGCGTTCTATGATGCCAGCCTCAACAGTGCGTGCAGAGCGCTGTCGTCTGAAGATGGCCCTCGAGCTGAATTCGCTGCCTTTGTGGGGTGGACACTGGCGAGAAATGGATCTCCATTCCCCGCCGGTTCCCAGGAATTAATCGCCAGTGCCAGTCCCAACCCAGAGGCCAGCCCACCATCTCCCCGATGCCCGAGCCGACCACAGTCGGAGAGCCAGAGCCCGCCGCGACCGACGAGCCATCGCTAGAGAGAGCGACAGAGCTGGGTATCGCCGCGGAGCCAGAGGCCGTGACGTCAGTCAAGTGGCGCTTTTACACTGCATGGTACGGCACGGTACGGCTCGGTACGGTTCACTTTTGG